TAGCCAGGATGGTCTCGATCTCCTGACCTCGTGATCCACCCGTCTCGGCCTCCCAAAGTGCTGGGATTACAGGCTTGAGCCACCGCGCCCAGCCTATCTGGCATATTCTAAATATGCCATTACAAATACTCAATAAATATTTGTAAAACGAAAAAATGTCGAGCTGACCTTATAAATCAAGTTTGTGTATTTTCTATATTACTTATATAATATGTTCATTTAGAGAGGTCTTTTGTTACCACCAAACTAACTGACCTTTTAGATAAGGAATTTTTAAGACTGAAAGTACACTGTGTAGAAAAACACATTTTTATGTTTCCACTACAAAGAATAAGGTACTTAACATTAGTTTCCAGAATGTAATTCAGGATCCTTACCAGCAGTCCTAGGTCCATCATAAGCACCTGCTTCTTCACCATCTCTAAATATCTTCAGGGTTGGATATCCACTGACACCGTATTTATTACAGGTGTTAGTGTTGGCAGTGCAATCAACCTAAAGATCAAAATACACAAACTATTTTCTTAGCCAAGTATCTGCTGCAGGTTCCTCCTATATTCTCAAAATAATAGGATTGGTCAAATCCTAAGGGGATCAAGGAATTCTTGACATACATGCCATAGAGCACTAGATTTTAAAGGCAGACTGGAGCTTGCCTAACTACATCAGAACTGCCTAAGGAATTCTTTAAAACTGAGATTCCTGGGCCTCACATAATATGCAAAAGTTACTGTTTAAATTCTGCTCTTGGAGTCTCTATTAGCTAAAGCAGTGGTCTTCATCTTTTTTCTGCCTCAGAACACATGAGGGATAAATCACTTAAATTATTAACAGTGGCTTACTTTGATTACGACTATCACCAAGGGGATATATAGATAAAGGTACATATCCTTTAGGTGGAATATAATTTGATTTTGTAAATCACCTAGAGCTAGTATCAAAGGTACCAATACTTGTACATGTTCCCTGAGCTAGTTGGAATCTGGGCTATACTATAACATAACAGATCTAGTGAGACCTATCAGGAAGAAGGAAAATAATTTCCTGGAATGAGTCACTTACTCCAACCCAGGTACGAGTACTTTGCATATATTATATCTCATTTAATCTCCACAAGATTCTGAAGTATGATCCTTATGCTCTAAGATGGGTAAACTGAGATCCAGAAAATTAACGTGTCTATAGTCACACAGGTAGGAATTGTGATTGCATCTGTCTTTTTTTTTTTTTTTCAGAGACAGAGTTTCACTCTTGTTGCCCGGGCTGGAGTGCAACGGCACGAATTCGGCTCACTGCAACCTCCACCCCAAGGGTTAAAGCCATTCTCCTGCCTCAGCCTCCCCAGTACCTGGGATTACAGGCACCCACCACCACGCCTGGCTAATTTTTGTAAATTTAGTAGAGATGGGGTTTCACAATGTTGGCCAGGCTGGTCTTGAACTCCAGACCTCAGGAGATCCACCCACCTTGGCCTCCCAAAGTGCTGGGATTACAGGCATGAGCCACAACAGTGCCCGGCTGTGATTAATATTTCTTTTCCTATGGCAAGCTGCTTGATAGGATTAAAAGTAGTTTCCAAAAATAGCCTTATATATGAACTATTTGAGGCTGGCAGAGGTATGAACTTTTAGACTAGAACAACTACGGGTTTACTACAGAATGGCAACATTCTGGAAGCATTACTTTAATTGTAAAAACAAATACAAGTTTACAGTTGACCATTTGGTTACATTTTCATCAATATCCTCATATCATTTTCATATTCCCATCATTGTGATTATCATATGGCAGTTTAGGGAACTCATTTACTCATAGATTATTATTATTATTATTTTTTGAGATGCAGTCTTGCTCTTTCACCCAGGCTGGAGTGCAGTGGCATGATCTCAGCTCACTGCAACCCCCGCCCTCCTGGGTTCAAGTGATTGTCCTGTCTCAGCCTTCCAAGTAGCTGGGATTACAGGCACCTGCCACCACACATGGCTAATTTTTGTATTTTTTTAGTAGAGACGGGGTTTCACCATGTTGGCCAGGCTGGTCTCGAACTCCTGACCTCAAGTGATCCGCCCTCCTTAGCCTCCCAAAGTGCTGGGATTACAGGCTGAGCGACCGTGCCCAGCCTCAATGATTATTTTAGCCTTTACAGCTGTACTTCTGCCTTCCATATTTGACCTTTAATTCTTATTTACCATATACTTTACTACTCTGTTTTTTTTGTTTTTTTTTTTTTTGAGACAGGGTTTCTCTCTATTGCCTAGGCTAGAGTGCAATGGCTCAATCACAGCTCACTGCAGCCTCAACCTCTCCGGCTTAAGCAATTCTTCCACCTCAGCCTCTGATTAGCTGGTACTATGGGAGACTGCCTGTATCTTTAGTAGAGATGGAATTTTGCCATGTTGCCCAGGTTGGTCTCAAACTCCTGGGCTCAAGTGATCTGCTTGCCTTGGCCTCTCAATGTACTGGGATTGTTTTTTTAAGAGACAGGGTCTTACTCCGTCACCTAGGCTGGAGTCCAGTAGTATGGTCATAGTTCACTGCAGCCTCAAGCAATCCTCCTGCTTCAGCCTTCTGAGAAGGTGGGACTACAGGTGAGCCACCACACCCAGCTTTTTAAATTTTTTGTAGAGATGAGGTCTTGCTTTGTTGCCCAGGCAACAAACTCCTGGCTTCAAGTGATCATCCCAAAGTGCTGGAATTACAGCTGTGAGCCACCACACCTGGTCTATTTTATTTTACTTCTTATGCCAGTAATTTCCTTAGTCTCACTACTTTTAATTTTTTTTTTTTTTTGAGATGGAGTCTTGCTGTTTCACCAGGCTGGAGTACAATGGCCCGATCTCAGCTCACTGAAACCTTCATCTCCTGGGTTTAAGCAATTCTCCTGCCTCAGCCTCCTGAGTAGCTGGGACTACAGGCATGTGCCATCACGCCCAGCTTATTTTTGTATTTTTAGTGGAGACAGGGTTTCCCCATGTTGGCCAAGATGGTCTCGATCTCTTGACTTCGTGATCCACCCACCTCGGCCTCCCAAAGTGCTGGGATTGCAGGCATGAGCCATCGTGCCCAGCCACTACTTTTAATCTTTTGAAACTAAGTCAGCTGAGTATTTGCCCAGAAACTAGTATTCACTCTTCTTAGCAGAATAAGAGTATAGAAAATGAATGTTAATCTTACAAACTATTTATTACTGTTATTTTTTTCCAAGTAACAAAGCTGAGACAACAAACTACTTTTTAAAACACTTCACATTCGTTAGTTTAGAACCCACCTGTACTTACCTTTGCTAATGGGACTATTCCTTTTAATCTGGTAGCTGCAGCTTCATATTCAGGAGCAAGTCTCTTGCAGTGTCCACACCTATATACATATTAAAAAAGCCAAATTCTCAGTTTAATCCTGTGAATTTGTTAATGTTGTCTCACTAGGAAGAATCTCAAACTATAATATTACCTTTGAGCTAGTAGACACTTCCAAAAGCAAAATCATCACATGAACAACATTCATTATTGTTACAGTAAACCAGAACTCTCAGAAGGTTGACTCTATAGTACTGGCTCAACCCAGGGCAGCTTTATTTTTTCAATACAAAGTATAAGTAAGTCATGAAAGCTGTAGTCAAAAGTGTACGCCACATTATTAAAGAGGGTTGAATGGGTTAATGCCCTTTCGACCAATTAATGAGGCTGAATGAAGGACAAGATAGAAATAATCCCATTTCTGATAGAACTCCCCAGAGGAAAATACAATTCCCTGGAAAACCAGCATTGTGGTTGTTAAAAATTGTGACTGAAGCTCACACCTGTAATCCCAGCACTTTGGGAGGACAAGGCGAGTAGATCACTTGAGGTCAGGAGTTCAAGACCAGCCTGGCCAACATGGTGAAATCCCATCTCTACTAACAATACAAAAATTAGCCAGGCGTGGTGGTGGGCACCTGTAATCCCAGCTAATCATGAGGCTGAGGCAGTAGAATCGCTTGAACCTGGGAGGTGGAGGTTGCAGGGAGCTGACATTGTGCCACTGCACTCCATCCTGGGTGACAGAGCAAGACTCCGTCTCGGAGGTGACAAAATTGTGACTGAAACCCTGTAATGTCTCAAGTATGATATTGTCTTTTAGATGGCAGGCCTGATTTTTACAGCTACACAGCTCACCTGGCCATGAGAACTGATAACAAAACATGTAAACTAGAATACCTTTCCCAGAGGGCCATCAGAAGCACCTGCTCCTCTGCCCAGAAAGTCCTAATCAGTGTATATACAGCCAGCACCAGCTGTACATCACGTCTTCAAAAGCCAATGGGTTGCAGAGGGACCACGTTGAGAAGGTGAGTTCTATAACCTCCCCACAGACAGCAAAAATAGAAAGATAATATAATAGAGAAGAAACTTGAGCAGATATACTTCAGTAGTCCATTATGTAATTTTATTAAGTGATGGATGACTTGGAGATATTGTACATCCAAAACTTGTTTAAAATAAAGGACTATAAGAGCTTATTCTCCAAGGTCTTCAAGAGGCCTATGAAAGTATAAAAGAACCAAATGACAAATATAAAATTCAGGATAAAGGAGTGTATAAGATGGTAAAGGGGCACATAGGGAACTTCAAAGTACTGGCAATGTTTTTCAGACAGAGTGCAAACAAATGGTATTCCTTATGCTGTATTTCACAGATTCATTTTTTTTTCTGAAATTAAGATATGTTTTGCAGTCATGTTATAGTTTCAATGGTAGTATTTCTTTCTCAGTGAGACACAAGATAGTTCCTCCCAAAATCAGTGATATAAGATCTTATGTGTGTGAAATAGGGTATTACTCATTATATCCTCTGTATTCCTTTAATATTGCATAGTAAATGTATTTTAAAGGGAGTAACAACTGGATCTGGGTCTTGAAGGATTTAGCGCTTCAGAGAGGAGAGGGCAGGGTATTTAAGATGAGGGAGACAGCAGAGCAAACGTAAAAGAATACCAGTAAGCGTGATGCATTCAGAGAACTGTAAAGGGCTCTTTTGAGATAATAAATGTGTGTGCATGTGTACTAACACTACATCAATTAGCAATGTCAAAGACTGACAGAAAGGGAGAAAACAGATACAAGAATAAAGCCATCTAGAAGATAGTATATTTCATATGCCAGACAATAAAAGCTTGTACTAGAGTGGCAGCAATGAGAATAAAGAGACAGAAGAGAGATTTCTGTTGAATATATAGTAGTTGTCAAGGCTGAGGCAACAGATTTATGCGTTAATCATTTCAACTATCTTCAAACACTTCAAGATAAAAAAATCACATACAATAGTTACTAGGTCAAGCTAGTGGGTATCAACTCTAGATGCTTATCAAAAATACCCATGGAGCATTAAAACAAAAAAAGTATGCATGGCTTACAGATTGAGAATCTCCAGAAATCTGGGGAGCAACCAGGTGTGTGTGTAAGCTGCAAGGCTGGGACTAAAATCCACTGCCTTAAACTCTGGCAATATCCATAAGCTCATCAAATCCAGAAAAAGAGTTTCAAAGAGGCGGGAGGAAACTCCCCTCTTCAAATCCACCAGGAATGGAACTCAGGTGGTATTTAAGGGAAATCCGAGTCAGTTAACATACATCCTTCAAGATTAACCACTACTTCTTTCACCCACTCCTAGAAAATATTAAAACATAATTAATTCTATCTATCCTCAGGGATGGCACCTGGCAGTTGATAATGAATTCCAACATATATTCCCCCAATAATCATCACTTCATCATGTGTGCCATGTGTCAAGTGCTTTTTGATAAGTGCCTTATCAAGTGTCTTTGATAAGAAAATTGATATAGTCCTTTCCTTATAGGAACACCAGTCTGGCAGGGGTGACAGAGTATTATTAGATGCCAATAGAGAGGCAGGATCAATCAGTTAGTTGTCCAGGGAAGGGAAAAAAAAAATTTGAGCTAAATGCTGATGTTGAAAAGATCAACTGGGGGTGGGGATTACAAGTAAAGAAATTAGCACATATATATATATACTTTTTTGAGACAGAGTCTTGCTCTGTCACCCAGGCTGGGGTCCAGTGGCATAGCTCGGCTCACTGCAACCTGCACCTCCCGGGTTCAAGCGCCTCAGCCTCCTGAGTAGCTGGGATTACAGGCTCCTACCACCATGCCTGGCTAATTTTTGTATTTTTAGTAGAGACAAGGTTTCACCATATTGGCCAGGCTGGCCTCAAACTCCTGAACCTCATGATCTGCCTGCCTCAGCCTCCCAAAGTGCTGGGATTACAGGCGTGAGCCTCCGCACCTGGCCATTATTTATTACTACTGCCCTAGAGGGTAGCATACACATCTATAGCATAAATAGATGTTGAGGACTTAATATTAAATATTAACACTGATCAATAAATTTTCAGATATTTTCAAACATTTAAATAGTGTTATTTCCCCACAGAAATTGAGATATTCTTATCCTTAGAAATATATAGAAGATTAACTCCATAATGGAAATATTAGTCTACAAAATCAACTGCAAAGAAAGCTTTCACTATGCCAAGCACAGTGGCTCACGCCTGAAATCCCAGCACTTTGGGAGGCCGACACAGGTGAATCAGGTGAATCAGGTGAAGTCAGGAGTTCAAGACCAGCCTGGCTAACATGGTGAAACCCCATCTCTACTAAAAAACAAACAAACAAAACACACGCACACACAAAAAACAAAAATTAGCCAGATGTGGTGGTGCATGCCTGTAATCCCAGCTACTAGGGAGGCTGAGGCAGGAGAATCACTTGAACCTTGGAGGCAGAGGTTGCAGAGCCAAGATCGCGCCACTGCACTTGAGCCTGGGCAACAGAGACTCTGTCTCAAAAAAAAAAAAAAAAAAAAAACAAGCAAGCAAGTTTTCACCTTTCACTTTCACTTGAAACATGAAAGTGGAAAAAGAACTTGCTTTAATAGGTCTATTTTGTGATGAGAATAAGATTTTTTTTAAAAGTCCATTTTACTTTCTTTTTTGAGACAGGGTCTCACACTGTCCTTGAGGCTGGAGTGCAGCGGTGCAATCTCAGCTCCCTGCAACCTCCACCTCCCAGGCTCAAGCGATCCTCTCCTCCCACCTCAGCCTCCTGAGTAGCTGGGACTACAGGCGTGTGCTACCACGCCCGGTTAATTTTTGTCCTTTTTTGGACAAAATGGGGTCTGGCTATGCTGCCCAGGCTGGTCTCTAATCTCGCCAGCCTCCTAAATTCAAGCGATTTTCCCGACTCAGCCTCCAAAATAGCTGGGATTACAGATGTGCGCCACCACGCCCAGCTAATTTTTGTATTTTTAGTAGAGATGGGGTTTCACTATGTTGGCCAGGCTGGTCTTGAACTCCTGATCTCAAGTGATCTGCCTGCCTTGGCCTCCCAAACTGCTGGGATAACAGGCATGCACAACAGGACCAGACCCCATTTTACACTTACTAAGGATTCTTTAACTATTTCTTGTAAGATAGTACTCCTGAACTGTACAAAGGAATATAGCAGTCAGAAAACATTTCCAGCTGAAATGTTAATAAATAAAAATACCAAGGCCAGGCTAGGTGGCGCAGGCCTGTAATCTCAGCACTTTGGGAGGCCGAGGAGGGTGGATCACCTGAAGTCAGAAGTTCACCACCAGCCTAACATGGTGAAACCCCATCTCTACTAAAATGCAAAAATTAGCCGGGCTTGGTGGTGCATGCCTGTAATCCCAGCTACTCAGGAGGCTGAGGCAGAAGAATCGCTTGAACACGGGAGGTGGAGGTTGCAGTGAGCCCAGATCATGCCACTGCACTCCAGCCTGGGAAACAGAGCAAGACTCTGTCTCAAAACAAACAAACAAACAAACAAACAAAAACTCTGGGCGCAGTGGCTCACGCCTGTAATCCCAGCACCTTGGGAGGTCGAGGTGGGCAGATCACCTGAAGTAAGGAGTTTGAGACCAGCCTGGCCAACATGGTGAAATCGCATCTCTACTAAAAATACAAAAAAATTAGCTGGGCATTGTGGCAGGCACCTGTAATCCCAGCTACTCAGGAGGTTGAGGCAGGAGAATCACTTGAACCCAAGAGGCGGAGGTTGCCGTGAGTCGAGATCACGCCACTGCACTCCAGCCTGGGTGACAGAAGCAAGACTCCATCTCAAAAAAAAAAAAAAAAAAAAAAAAAAAACTGTAATGGAATGTGAAGAAATAAAGACCTCAAGAGGAGACTTCTTTAACTCCAAATTGCTCATTCAGAAAACTCATCTTCCTTGCTGACATCGCGGAGGATGACTTTTTCTTTTAAACCAATTAAAAGCAGACACCACAGCAGAGATCCACCCAATTCTTGGGATAGTCAGTGCCTGATGGGATATGTAGTTCTTAGGGTAGCACGTGCAACAACTTCAAGTAGGAAAGACCCCTTTCAATTCAAACAAAAAATTCTGTTTTTTTTTGTTTATTTGTTCTTTTGATTTTTTTGAGATGGAGTTTCACTCTTGTTGCCCAGGCTGGAGTGCAATGGCACAATCGTGGCTCACTGCAGCCTCTGCCTCTTGGGTTCAAGCTATTCTCCTCCTCAGTCTCCTGAGTAGCTGGGATTACAGGCATGTGCCACTATGCCCGGCTAATTTTGTATTTCTAGTAGAGACGGGGTTTCTCCACGAAGGTCAGGCTGGTGTTGAACTCCCAATCTCAGGTGATCCGCCCACCTTGGCCTCCCAAAGTGCTGGGATTACAGGCAGGAGCCACTGCGCCCAGCCCCAAAATTCCTTTTTTAAATTAATATTCTAGTGGCCCACTATTCTCCAAAAATTCCTACTTTAAATTGTTGCATGACCCCTGTAGTAAAAAGCATCACTCAGATCTGACAAACTCAGTGACACCCCCAGTTTTTACAAATTTAGTGACACCCCCTCAAAGCTAACAGCATGATTATATAATTGGGAAGAGTTGTTTCTAAGAGAGAACATGAGTTCCAGAGATGTATAAGAATTCTCCATATGTGTAATCTGTACTGTCAGCCCCAGAAATGCCCTGGACACAAAATCTGTCCAAGCTGAAAACAAAATTTGCCAACTCTAGCACATCACTTTGATTCAGGTGGTCTTTACTACAGGACTTTTTTTCGTGCAACCCTTAGCTAGTTGATTGAGGCTAAGAAGAGAAGACCTGAGTCTGAAGCAAATAAAAGTTATATACAACTTTTACCGACATTTTTGAACACAGATAGTTTTAAACCAAGGGTCACTGTGTCAGGAGGGGAAAAATTAAGTACTGTAATTATATATATTGAATTATATATAGAAAGCTATCCCAAGGATAAAGGAATCACTGTTTACTCTGGTAATGATCTGGAGGTTTTAAACACACACACACACACACACACACACACACCCCCAAAAAAAAAAACCACTCAAGTTGACTGGGCCAGAAATCTTATTTGCTCTTCCGTCTCCCCAACAGATTTTTATTTCTAATTAGTTCTATCTAAGGAATTTACACCCTTGTTCATTTAAGTCACCCTAAAGTGGAGTATTTAATCAATATTGGTTACTTGCTCATTGGAGTCCTGACATTTTAAAGAAATTCTAATTAAAACGGACAATATGGACAGATTCTGATGGAATTATTCTTGTTCACCTACTCTTTTCTTTTGGACAGAGGTGTCTGCCGGGACTGCGATGTAAGTGATCAGCTGAAGGGAGAAACTGTACACCATGTGACGGACAAATTAACTGCCTTAAGAAAGCACTTACGACCATTCTGCAGCCACTCAGTGACCTTGGCTAGAAACCAATGGCTGTGCAGTGTGGGGTAAGAGGAAAGTAAATACCCTAGGGATCCAGGACTTGTGCATTTGGTGAAACGTCCGCTTCCACTACAAGGCTTTGGGATGTCTAGTCTGTAGACTGGAGGAACGTTAATACTGACTCACGCAGAAACGATATAGCTACACACTGAACTGGGGGAAGGGGTGGCTAAACCCTCTGCAAATAGGAAGTGCCGCAAGAGCACTAGGGTGAGGATGAGGCCCTGCGTGAGCGCAGCCTTCGGGTTTTCCTTCTCCCGATCAGCACCGA